GGACCAAGAAGGCTCAGTGTAAAGATATGAAATGGGTTTATTTACAGGGGAGAGGGAACTATCTGTGACGAGAGGGGAACCTGTTCTGGGACCAAGCCAAGTAGAGCTGGATTTTGCAGACTGAATCTTACTGTTGGGCAGCACCGTGGCACAGTTGGTACAGCTTTTGCCTCTGAATGAGAAGGTTGGCAGTTCAAATCCTGGCCGGGGGTCTTTCTGGGTGGAGTTTGCATGTTCTCCCCATGCATGTGTGGGTTTTCCATGGGTAGTCCAGTTTCCTTCCAGAGACCAAAAACATGCATGTTAGACAGATTGGTGACTCTAAATTGTGAGTGAGAGAGTGAATGGTTGTTTGTCTTGTTTGTCTCTGTGTCCCTGTGATGGACTGGAGACCTGTCCAGAGTGTCCCCCGCCTCTTGCGCAGTGATTGCTGGACACTAGATTTGTCAGCATTTGGTGTATAGGTTCTGCAACAATAAAATATCTGTAACGTGACTGACTAACTGAATGTGTCTTTTATTAAGGTTGGTTGACTGTGGCTGCCATCTTGAATCAAAGTGACTTCAAACATTAATCAGTTGTAGATGTACATCGAATGACAACTTTATGTTTCATGAATATCTATCTTCTGGTCCTTGAGAATCTTTGCACAAACACATTGACCAAAAAATTACAACTCATTTTCTTCAAACACCTCAGACATGCTGAGGACATCATGCAAAGATGAAAGTGAGAAAAAGTATTTGAAAATTGGTGAAACTCTTCTTCTTCTTCAGGGCTCTCCACAGCGAGTCATCCTCCTCCATCTCACTCTGTCCTCTGCATCCTCTGTCCTCACTCCAACTACCTCCATGTCCTCTCTAACTGCATCCATATTTCTCCTCTTTATTTTTCCTGGCAGCTGCATTTCTAACATCCTTCTACCAATATACCCACTGTCCCTCTGCTGAACATGTCCAAACCATCTAGCAATATTTAAATCATGAATATAATAATAATAATAATAATGTCATCACAATGTCAGCACTGTATGTTTCCATACAATGGCGAAATTAGTCTCTGCATTTAACCCATCCACCACCAGGTGGTGCAGTGGGCAGCTATTGAAAGCGCCCGGGGGACATTTTGGGAATTAGACGTGCTGCCCAGAGACGCCACGTGATGTGCAGTGACTGGGGATCGAACCTGGGACTCTCGGGTCCCAAGCCGGCTGCCCTGCCTCTACACCATCTCGGCCCCATATGATGCTGATATGACAAATAATTGGCTAAAGGTGGAGTTGAAAATACTTTAATAAATGTTTCTTAGTTTTGAACACGTTCCCTTTTTAAAAAACATAAAAAAAAAAAACATTTTTATTCATCAAAACTTCCTCGGTATGTGGGATGCTCAAACAGGACAGAAATTCACTGGTTTTACAAACATCTTGTGTAGTGTGGTCCACAGCAGCACAAACATTGACCAAAATCCAAAAGGAGCCGAATAATCGAACGCATGTGACAAGTAAAACACAAAACAACGTATTTCTTCACAGAATTAATCTTTATTAAAAAGTTTAAAAAGTGTATTTTTAATATACTGTGCTTTAAAAAAAGTTTTACATATGTTTGTGAAATTTTGACAGTGGCTGTGCTTACTCATTTAGTGAATAAAATATAATCCTTAACAAACATTTTAAATGAAAAATAAATACCTTTTTTTAACGGTGTCTTATCAAAATGTTTTGTAAGACTATGTGCAACGTATTAACAATATGTACAGCAATATGTATCTACATTAGTGTTATTCATATATCTATATATATATTCATATATCTATATATGTATACATATATATATGTATACATATATATAAAGGCATTTTAAACCCTTTCCACACTCTTGTAATATTCTAAGCATCATTTCTGAACTCTAAACGCTCTAAAAGAGCACAGCATGTCATGATCTCCGCTCTCTCTGCCACCTGCCAGCGCTCTCGGCCACGCCCCTTCTCCACTGTAGAGCGGCGATAGACACGCTGCAGGAGGAAGCTTCTCCTGCAGCTGTGGGCTGCACACAGGTGCAGCAGGTGCTAATTTATTTTAAATACAAATATCCATGCCGATCTTGCGGCTCATCCAGCAATCAGCCATGTCCATGACACATGTCAGCCATGTGTGTCATGTCCACTCTTACTTTGAAGTAAGTCCGTGAAAGTCAAACCGCGAAGTAGTGAGAGATACTTGTTTTAAGAGGAGTGCAGCTTGTAAAGCCCAAAAAAAAAAAAAGCATAAATTCATTTTCTAAATAACTGGGGCAGGAAATAAACATTTTGTATTTTAGAGTATTACTTGGCTCAGACCAGGACAACTTAATCTATGGAAGTTAAACTTTTATAAATCAAATTTTGTCAGCTATAAACAGCACAATGTGCAGTTTGTGTATACATAAAGGGTCTTAGTGTGCAAGGCTTTCAGGTTTATTTCAGATCTGACCTCTCTGTAGTTATTGAGGATGAAATGCTAAAACCAGCACTTCAATTTGGATTAAGGCCTCAGTGGAGACAAAACAAGGTGAACGTTCTTGACTGGTTCAAACTGGAACAACCTGTAAGCTGGTCCACTGTATTAAAATGGACTGTAAGCAAAAAGTGGAGAAAATCTGATGAAATTGTTAACAACTTGATAAGATTTTTAAAAAATCAACATTCTACGGTATATCTCTCAGTTTCTACTTTTGTTTCTGTTTGAGAGTACAAAACAAGTGACGACACCTGAAAGGAGTCAGGGATGAGTGTAAAAGGCCACAAAGTGGATTGTAACTGGACATAATAGCAAACCACGGGGAAACTGTCTGAGGTGGCAGAGTCACAGCTGGCAGGAAACGATGCGATCATGCAAGCAGAAGTTGATCTTTTGTTTTTATTTTTAGCTAACTTCCATGTGGGTGGTCCACATGCAGCAGAGACGTTGGAAAAAACACCTTAGCAGTCTGCCATCTTGCCTGCAGCCAGTTTCTCCTGCTGCCAGTTTATGTCTAGCAAGAATATAATTTATTTCACAATCAAGAAATACATTTTTAAGTAGTGTTTTGAAAAAAAGAACTATCTGTAAGTGTTTTACTCTTGAGTAGAAAGCTTTAGGAAGGACTTAAGATTGGAAAAACACAGGTTCGTTCTGACCAGACAGTCTAGGAGCATAAATTAAATTATTATTAAAGCTGTTCCAATAAATGCTGTTTTAGAATCCTTTACACCAGGTCACCTTTGCATTAGACATTTTTTAATTTAGTTCATGAATGTTTAAAATGAGGTCGTCGTAAGTTAAAGTTAGTGCCTGTTCCTAACGGCTTCGATGATCTAAACCAGAGTAACTGTTTGACGCAACAGTGTTCAGTCAGATCATCTGGATGTTTTTTTTTTTTTTTTTTGCTGAGACGTTTCGTCCTTCATCCAAAGGACTTCCTCAATCCGAGAAGCCACCAAACAACTGTCCACTATGGAGTATGCTGTTTGTGGGAATCAGTTGTCTTTGGTGGCTTCTCGGATTGAGGAAGTCCTTTGGATGAAGGACGAAACGTTTCAGCAAAAAAAACCAAAAAAACATCCAGATGACCTGTCTGAACATTGTTGGATTTTATACCTGGATTATTGCGCATGAACTTTGGTGTCTGATGCAAGAATATAAAATGTAAAAACAAACATAAAATCACATTCACCTTAACCACAGAAAGATTTTATAAGGTTTTATATCAAATAGTTTGGCTTCAGATAATTTCTCTTTTGGGTCAAATGTTCTAATGTGCAACATGTTTCACATGGAGTGTTTTTGGAGACGAATCTCCATCTTCACGGCATGTAACCATCACTGCCGTAAATAGCTGTCTTATGCAAAATGACATGAAGTTAAAGTTTTGTAAAACAGCTCTCAAATGGCAGTTCTGGATTTTGGCACTGCTCTCACAACAGTCAGAGACTAATCTCTGTTTTTCCCACGTTTCTTTAATCTACAGAAGTTTTGACCGTTCATACCCTTTCCAAAAAAATCAAAAAAAAAATCTAAATGGGTCTTTTCTACCCAACAAATGTTGGTTTTTGCAAATAGCCAGAAATTGATGAAAATATAAAACAGCAGAAGTTTTCAACAGAGGAAAACAAATAGTTTCTGAATATCAAGTCACTTAAATGTGCTCCTTAAAATTAATCTCAAAGAATGGAGGTTTAAAAAAAAACTAGAAAGTTCCTGGAGAAGCTTTAATGGGGACTGTCATGTTGTGGCCAGTTTTAATTTTAATTTGACAGTACTATGTGTTGTACATTGCTCTCAGGTACCACCACAACAAATTTCAGTTCGATATCTTTTAAAATAGCTGAGTCATTGTATTTTTTTTTCTTTTACCTAAGGCAGCCATCTTGGATTTTAAATTTGCATTAGGGATGTATAACAACTCGCTCTCAGCTACAACCATACCAAATTTCAGCTCAATATGTCAAAGAATGACTGAGTTATAGTCAATTTTGTGTTTTCTGAGGGAGCTGTGGCAGCCATCTTGAACCAAAATGGCTCCAAAAGTTAATCAGTGTTTTGTTCAGAGTCTCATGTGATCTCACTGTGGCAGTTAGAGGATGTTCAGAGGTCTGTCAGTGTTTTTCAATGAGAAAAATGGCGTCTTTGTTTGCAAATTACATCGCCACGGTAACGAAATGCCAATAAAAGTAGCACACATCACGGGGTTGAGCCGGTGGTTTTGATACATTTGTGGGGGGACACATTGCAGTTTGGGACGCACTAAAGTTGAAAGGAGAGCAAGACCCTTTTCAGGTGGATAATAATAGATGACCACCTTCAGGCAGTCCCCAACAAATAAATAAACTTAAGCAAAATGCTATTTGACCTTTTAGCCACTCTATACAAAATGAGTCTTGTGCATTTTCTTTTGTAAAATATAGAAAATACCTCAAACTGTGAAAAGATTTAGATGGCGAGTGAGCAACACAGTAACAGAAGACATTTTGTGGGTTCTTCAAACATCAGAGTCCAGAGGGGAAGGGAAGTCGAGGTTTGGTGACAGCGAGTCCTGACTGTGTGTAGAGCTGATCCCGGTGTCTGAGTCAGTGTCTGTCACATCCAGAGGCGACAGGCAGTGTTTGAGTGCTGCTGCAGGAGGCACGCCGCACTGAGCCTCGCTTTTCAAAGGGACCAGCACGGGCGTCTGCTCCTCCATGCAGTCCATGATTTGGATGGAGTTGAGCTGGGAGGCCAGCTGCCAACACTCCTGTTCCTTAGCAACCAGCGAGCAGTCGACAGACTTTAGCTGCTTGTCGATTTCTGCAGCTTGGTTTTGAAGAGCCACTCCACTGAAGAGGCTGCGTCTCAGTTCTTCTTGCAGCCTCTCCAGATCTGCCGTATAAAACTCATCAGTTTCAAACGGGAACTGAGGAGCAGCTGTAGCTCCTTTCTCGTCCTGAACCAGAAGGTCACAGCTTTTTAGCTCAGCGTGTATGTCCAGAGACAGCTGGAGAATAAACTCCTGGTGCAGCTGAATCTGCAAGTCCAGCTGCTCAACACCATCGCTGGTATACAAATACTTTTCCAGCTGCTCCTTGCTGTGCGCCGCCAAACTCTGATCGCATGCCGGAGGCAGGAAAATCTCAGAGTTTGTTTGTTTCTGCATCTCCAGCTCAAACTGCTCGATCTCCACATCTACATCCCTCATCCTCTGGATCTGTTCTCTGATCGTGTGGTCCTGGTTGAGAATGAGCTGCACCATCCGTTTGACCTCCTCAGCACCCGGGGAGCTCCTGCTCTCCTTGTGAAGTTTCTCGAGCTTCCGGAAGGCCTTTTTTACCAAACGCTTTTGTTTGTCTGCTGGAAGGGGATGAGCGTGAGTGGGATTAGAATCCCATCGTTTTGGCTTCATCCCCTTGTATTTTCCGCCCTTCTTCGCTGTATGTGGCACAAAATCACTGGTTTTTACAAGCACAAACTGTATAAAAGGTCTCTGGTCACCCCAAGCATACCAGAGTCTCAGGATTCTGGTGAGGGGCGGCAAAGCTCGCTCGAACCCTTTCCACCTCTCAACGAGACAGAAGTCTTTGGGATCCCCGTGCATGAGCCGTTTGCTTTCTGGAAGAGTCTTGTGGTCCTCAAGTAAAGCCTGAATCATATCCGCACATGTTGTGTGCTTTGTTACACCGCAGACGACCTTCTCTTCGTTGCAGACGGTAACTTGAATCTCCTTCCCAACCACAGGCTCAGCATCTTTTGTCCTGATTGAGAGAGAGGCAGAAAACAAAGGATACAGTTGAGGCTGTGGAATGACACATTTGAAAGTTCTTCAACAGTTTCCCACAAAACTGACAAACTCCCTGGCTTTAAGGAATCTACCAGTATCTAAGGCTGAATCTTATTTTGCCCCTAAACCTTATAGCAAAAAGTTTCATTGCATTCCACTGTTAAAAAAATTAATATAACACTACAATAACGATTAAATCATGTCATCTGGAAAGTTTCTTTTTTGACATTTCATCTTTCATCTGAAAGACTTCATCAGTTTGAGGCCTGTCTTATAAATAGCACCTCGATGTGTTTCAAGCCAGTCCTTTGTGGAATTCCCAGAAACTGACTTACACATGCAAAAAAGGAACCATCCGTCCAAAACAATCGATGGTCATGCATAACAATCAGATGGCCAACTTGCAGAAACAGCCTGAGGACACCTGGTCAAAATGGTTCACATAAAGGTTTGAGAGCTCCATCATCCAGGTAGATAAATCACAAAAAAGGGTTAAATGGTGTCATCTGGATGGCAGCACGGTGGTGCAACTGGTAGAGCTGCTGCCTCTCAGTGAGCAGGTCCCTGGTTCAAACCCCGGTCCAGGGGCCTTTCTGGGTGGAGTTTGCAGGTTCTCTCCGTGCATGCGTGGGTTTTCTCCGGGTGCTCCGGTTTCCTCCCACAGACCAAAAACATGCATGTTAGGCTGATTGGTAACTCTAAATTGTCTCTAGGTGTGAGTGAGAGAGTGAATGGTTGTTTGTCTCGTTTGTCTCTGTGTGGCCCTGTGATGGACTTGCGACCTGTCCAGGGTGTACCCCGCCCCTCGCACAGTGATTGCTGGACATGGGCACCAGCGACCCCCGTGACCCAAAATGGAATAAACGGGTAAAGATAATGGATGGATGGATGGATGGAATTTCATTTACAAGTTAAAAAAAATAACTAGTTACATGACAGTATTAACTGAGAGGCCGTGGCTTGGTATGAACGAGTAGTTGTCTGCACAATGGGAGGTTGCAAATTTGATATTCCCCAATCTACATATTTGTGGGTGAATGTGACTTTGATTAAGACTTTAAAAAAATCTATAGTCTGTTTACCCCTTGTGAATTCAAATTAAGACCTATCTGCACTTATGGTGTTTGTGGATACACAAAGGTGTTTTATTATTTCAGTCTTCCACTCATAAGGACACTCCTAATTTTTATTTTTAAAAATTGTGTTCCAGAAAGAGGAAATCCTTAAATGTAACTATTGCATTACAATGTGGACAGCGTAAAAACAACATTTTGAAAACAATTATATGATAGTCCCATCTCTAACAACAACTACAAAATGACAGATTACGTGAAAACGTTTGAATACATGTATCCTGATTCATGCTCAATAATCCAGGTAGAAAAATACAAGAAAGTGGACTCAGGTCCTCTGGGCGGTTTCTTTTTGCTGAAATGTTTCGTCTTTTTTCCAAAAGACTTCTTCAGTTCGAGGAGCCACAACAAACTCAGTCTTATAAACAGCACCTTCTCAGTTGATGGTGCTCAGGTGGTTTCTGTAGTCCGCCCTCAAACCTTCGAACCAGTCCAAGGCAATCATGGCCAAAATGGTTCAAAATATCCGAGGTTCGAGGATTTGAGCAGACGGCGGCAGAGAGGGCAAACTACAGAAACCACCTGAGCACCAGCAAACCGGTTGAGCCACTGACAAGGTGCTATTTAAGACGGTTTGTTGTGGCTCCTCGGACTGATTTAGTCGTTTGGATGAAAGATGAAACGTTTCAACAAAAATAAACCGTCCAGAGGACCTGACTTAACTTTGTTAGGTTTGTACAGTCTTACTTCACTGAGCGGACAAGACTGATAAACAATTACATCGTTTGAAATAAAGCAGAGTAAAACACCAACTAATCTATGGCCAAAAACGTATTTATCACTTCTTTGAGCAGTCAACATTAATAAAGCAAACGTTAGAAAAAGAGATGAACGATTTAAACCAAGTATATATTTAAAATTTTTGATAAACATGGAACAAATTTTAAGACTGACACTTGACTCGTGTCTAAATTTTTTTTACCCGAAACTTGGAACATCATGAAGAAAAATCTTCCCTATGTCTCATACTAAATTCTGCCTGAAGAATTTGAAGTGACATGACTCCCAGTCAGTAGTACCGGTAGTTTAATGAGATACAAAGTAAAAGTTTTGCTTTGTTTCAATTCACAAAAAGGATTTGTTACCAATGTCACCAATTTTGGTATAATGGGTGACATTCAACCTTGGAGATTCAGTCTAATTATGAGGACAGCATGAGGAAGAAACACCGAGTCCAAATTCCAAATGGACCCAAAGCTAAACAGGATGCACAACAGATAAGCTCTACAAAATAAAACTGAATAACATCCTGTTTAACTAGGTCTACTCATCGTAGGTAAATAAATCTGGTATGTAGCCAGCAAAACGTCTAGTTTCTCATATTTGTAAGAAACCTTATTTTCAAGTTATTTTCCAAGTTAGAGATGCAAATGTGTAGCTTAAAAGAGATTGAATGCTTGAGAGTCATTTAGGTTGTCTGTACCTTTGTTCGATTTGAACACATTCACATTAACATTTAGCTCATCCTATATTCTTAGTGTCTATGAGTAGTAAAATTAAGTTGATTTGGCATTAAATTAGCACATATACAGTTGGTCATTTACATATTATTTTCAGACAAAGGCCAAGGGGAGGCTGTTGGGTCCAAACTGTGTGTTACTGGCACACTTCGCACCAAACATCCATGTGGACGCCATTGATCCCTTGGAGCTACCTTCCAAGACCTTGAACTTTAAGGTGAAAACTGGTCGTGAAGCTTAAAGTGGGTAGTTGAGTCCAGACTGATTAGAGAAGAGGGACAACCTGCAGAGGGCAAGCTGCTGTCAGATGGTGGACAGAGAGGTAACATGTCCAGGCAATGATCGAGCAAACAGTCCAAAAGCAGAGACTGCGATATGTTACTAATTTTATTTGTTCTAGATAGTCAAGTGTTATTGTCTTCTCTGTGCTTGACCAGGGCCAGAACTGACCCAGAAAGAGCCAATCCAAAGACTTCACTAACATTCATTCAGTACCGTACCAACTCCGGCTTTACTTTTCCGATCACAGATCAAACTTTTCTCTCTTCCGGGTCACTGGAACGGCAGGACTGACTTGTCCCACTTAAAATTTGTACAACCTGTTGAACAACATGAAAAAAATCATATAGCTAATTTTAGGAGTGAAGCTGCAGGGTTCAGAGAACCCTGTAGATGTTGGTTGCTGCCTTTCATGGTGCATTAAGATTCATAACTGGCTGTGATTATCGTACCCACCACTGCACCCTGTATTCACAGGTTAACAGGTCACCATTAACTTCACACAGACTCTCCCACTGGTACATTTTCATCTTTAAATCACTTCTTGGTCTGCTGCCTTCATACATCTCCTCCTACATGTCTCTGAGTGAGTGCAGCTCCAGCATGCGCTCTCAGGACATTATTACCTGCAGTGTTCCCTCAGTGCGAACTGAACTTGGCAAAAGGGCCTTCTCCTACTCCGCTCCTGTTTCCTGGAATATCTTACAAAAAGATTTGAAGCTCTCGACCTTGACCTCTCTAAGTGGCTTTAAGAACCTGTTGGACTCCTGGCAAGAACTAATGCAGACATTTTCCTGTTTTTAGTTTTCTACATTCGCCTTAGAATCTAGCTGTTTTTGTTACTTTTTTTTTGCCATCTTATTTGTAAAAAAAATACAAATCTGTATGCCTTTTTACAACTGTCTATTGTTATTGCTGTTGTCCATTGTTTTCATCATTCTCTGTTGAAATCAGGTCTCTCTTGTAAATGAGTCCTCGAGGCTCAATGGGATTTACCTGTCTAAATAAAGGTTGAATGAATGAATTTTCCACCTTTAACAGAGATCACACAAAATCATTGTAAACTAAGGAAAGTAGCATGAGAAAATACCAGAGTCTCAAAGATAAGTTGAATGGATTCTACACTTTACAGCAACAGCTACAGATTTACACAGAATTGAGAAAAAGCTAGAACCCATCACTCTTCCTTTTCAAAAGCTATTTTACTAGACGTGTTTATGACTAGATTCTATTTTAATGGATTTTCATTAGGTCAGTGAGCAGAAAACTACATTTGCTCATTTTATGCTCCCTGGCTTGATTCTATTAGACTCTTACTTATCTTCTTACTCATCAGAGATGATCTCTTAATGACTTGGTTCTGAGCTATTAAACCGCAAGGCTCTCATTAGCTTTTCATCTGGACCATAAAACTTGGTCAAAAATTGATCACTGATGGGTCGATGATTTCCATTTTTTATGAAACTAATGGGGCACCGGTAATATTCAGAACCTAATATCCAGTCATTAAATGACAGGCACTAGCAATGCAGACATCCACTAGTAATTAAATAAGTAGATAACACTGCTAAACAGTTCTGTGTGATTTTGGGATAAAGAATGATGTATCTTATTTTTGTTTCATTGATAGATAAGATCTTGAGTTCTCTCCAACTCCTGGGATTTATTACTTTAGCTCTGATGTGCTGTACCAGACGGCTAAGTTCATGTCTCATTAAATGACTTATAGTTTAGGTAAAGCCTTTAATAAGAAAATAAAATGTCATACATATCCATTTAATTACAGTTCCAGAGAAAGCAAATATAATCCATAGTTCATTGAGAGACAAAACACAAACTCTTCCTTTCATCCTGAACTGAAGGCTGATTTTGTGGGTTGAAGGAATGTTGGTCTGTGGCTCGGAAACATGGCAGATGATATTTCATAAAAATGTTAACATCACTACATTAAAGTAGCATGCTAATACATGTTAAGTCTCACTTAGAGAACATTTACAATCTTCGTTTTACATGACAAAACCAGATTACAAAAAAGTTAAGGAGACTGTTGCTCATCAGGACTTACTGACAACACGACTGAACGACAATCGCAGTGCAACACTAATTTTAAACTGAAAATGTCCTCTTAAGCATTTGTTCAGTAAGTGTTGAAAATCAAGAAGGGACTACAATGAAACACTTATTCACGTTTGGAAAATGATGCACTTTGCAAAACAGATTTGAATCAAATAACAAACAAAGTCTCAAATGTTTGGAGTTAACCCGCACAGTTATGGCATGAAGCTTCCTGATCTTCTGAAGATAATTTGACTTAAATACTGCAGACATGTTTACACTTTAATTTACAGATTTTCAGTGAAAGATAAAGCTTGTTTACATATATTCTATTAACCATGAACCCGCTCCATTAAAATAGGTACTTTTTTTAATCTAACCTTTATTTATGCAAGTAGACACAGGGGCTCATTTTCAAGACTTCCTTGCTTTAGCCAGGCAATGATATACACAGTGATGGGCACAGCTAACCAAAAAGGTAGTTTTGATAACCCATATTCATATTGCATTAATTAAAAAAACATAGTTTTTTTTTTGTTGTTATTGCTAAACAGGTATAAAAATTAACGTAAGCTATCGCTAAATTACTAATGGCTTAAACTGACTGCATCACATGTCTTCATCTCCTTCCAGTTGAAGCTGCAGCAACCAATTACATCTTGTCATGTATACATTTAGTAAGCCAATAGTCCATCCATCCATTTTCTTCCGCTTATCCGGGGTCGGGTCGCGGGGGTAGCAGCCTAAGTAGGGAGGCCCAGACTTCCCTCTCCCCAGCCACTTGGGCCAGCTCTTCCGGGGGAATCCCGAGGCGTTCCCAGGCCAGCCGAGAAACATAGTCCCTCCAGCGTGTCCTGGGTCTTCCTCTGGGCTTCCTTCCGGTGGGACGTGTCCGGAACACCTCACCAGGGAGGCGTCCAGAAGGCATCCTAAACAGATGCCCAAGCCACCTCAACTGGCTCCTCTCGACATGGAGAAGCAGCGGCTCTACTCCGAGTCCCTCCCGGATGATCGAGCTTCACTAAGCCAATAGTGTGTCTAACAAACTCTTCAAGACACACCCACAACAGACAACAACAAGCTTGGGAATCTTGTTAGCAGACTTAAATTTGGCAAAACTACTATTACTATTAGTAGGTTTGACTCCCATCACCCACAGGAGCACAAGTTAGGAGTTATCAGGACACTGTACCATAGAGTGCACAGCATCCCCCCTAACTCAAGAGGCAGGTTGAAGGATAAATCCCACACAAGTCAGGCCCAGGAGCAATGTAGATATCCTAACTGGGCTTTCCTGAGAGCAGAGAAGAAACCCAAACAGGACTCCAGCCATCCATCAGGTGAAAAGGAGGAACTCAGACCCAGACCAGTGGTCATTCCATATGTTGCAAGAGTTTCAGTTCTACATCGGGGCAACTAAACAGCCACTGGCCAAAAAGATGGCCCAACACAGAAGAAAAACATCATCAGGCCAGGACTCTGCAGTTTACACTCAAGCCAGCGGTCACTTTTTCAGGGATGAAGATGTGCATCCTTGATAGAGAGGAACGATGGTTTGAGAAGGGTAAAGAAAGCCATACCTGTAAAGAGAACTGTCCATTGTTAAACAGGGGAGGAGGACTCTGTCTTCAACTGTCCCCCTCTCACAATG